AGGGCGAATAAACTGAAAATCAAAACAACAAAAGTAAAAAGAGGTGATTTTTTCTGCTCTGCATCACATATGCCGAAGAAGAAAAACCAAGACAAAGACATACTTACAACAACTCATCAAAGCTGGACAAATGGATGTATTGTCCAAAATGACGGATAAAAGGAAATCCAATAATTAAACATATCTCGTATCAGCTAAATGCCTTCGGCTATGTTGGAGGTTGGGTGGATAGCCATCTCTCTCTCTCTTAATGCCACTTCAAACACATCCTTAGCAATGATATCGGGAAAAACGAAAAGAAAAACGTACATCACAACTCACTGGGTTAAAAGTTCTCAAGCATAACTCTGATTGAAGTGTAATTGCCATTAAATTGTGACGACTTTTACAAGCTAGGCAGTGGCAATGTCTATTTACCTAGAGATTATTGCATGGCATTTTGTTCTAAAGAATTGACAACATTCCGTTGCAGGGACAGAGGTAGAAAAAAAAAAAAAACGAAAATGAAAAAAAAAAAAAAAAACAACTCGAAACGAAACGAATGCATCATCAAATAAAACATAATAAAAACCCATTTTGACCATATTTCTGTTGACGTCTCCTCTTCGTGCTGCTGTTGTTGCTGTAGTCGTTGCTCGCTTTTTTGTTGTTGTTGTTGCCACATTTTAATTATGATATGAAATGCCCGCCATTTCTCGTTGCCACCGCCAACAAATGAATGAAAAATGAAACAAAACCCAAGCGCAACGCTACGACAAGACTACGAAAGGACCCAAGGAATGCGTAACAAACATAGCGACAAGCTTTCAAATCTCAGAAGGTCATGCTAGAATAACTTGTCATTCTGGGTTTTCGTTTACACTGGCTAACAATAAATTGTTGGCAACAAGTGGAATTAAACAAAGAAGTTATGAAATTATAAACAATTAGAAATATTCAAAATTTGAACAGCCAAGTCAAGTAAATTTATGTTACATGGCTCCCATGATAGGTAAAACTTAAACTTAGACGCCATATTTGCATAACCAATGCGTAAAGTGAATTGAAAGAATTTTCCCTACACATTCAGCGGGGCAATACTAAAAAGAAAGTCAGTTAACAACATCCTAACAAAAATAATATGTCCTACTTTCAATCTTACTAGTAATGACAACTACTTATAATTCTGTATTAGTAAAAAACAAGTTAAAAAGCAGTAAGTTCGGCCGGGCCAAACTTTAAATACCCTCCAGCATTTGGAACATACTCGGAAATTAAAAACAAAAAAAAAAAAAAAATGGGCATTGTTTGCCATTAGCCATTACCATATTCAAATTCGAAACTTGAAATAAACGGTAAATAATGTAACTAAAATCATCAAAAATCGTATATAGGGAGGTACCATTATATCGGAGCTGTGCGAAAACCTGCACCAGCATAGACAATTTTCTGTCACAGGCTATAGCATCCATTACTAACGTCAAATACGATATCTCAAACAATTTCGGTGAGTATTGTACCCAAACTCGTCAAAATACCGAATATAGGGAGGTACTGATATATGGGGCCTATACGAAGAACTGGACCTGCATAGACATTTTTCTGTCACAGACTGTAGCTCCCATTACGAACTCTAAATATGTAATTTGAAACAATTCCGATGAATAATGTCGCTAATATCATTAAAATACCGAGTATAGGGAGGTACCGTTATATGAGGGTTATACGAAGACGTGGACCTGCCCAGATAATTTTCTTTCATAGGCTGTAGTATCCATTACGAATCTCAAATACCAAATTTGAAACAATTCCGCTGAATAATGTCGCTAATATAATCAAAATACCGAATATAGGGAGGTACTGATATATGGGGCCTAAACGAAGACAATGGTAATTTTCTGTCATAGGCTAGTATCCATTTCGAACTTCAAATTCCAAAGTTTAAACAATTCAGGTGAATAATGTCGCTAAAATCATCAAAATACCGAATAGCGGGAGGTACCGTTATATGGGGGCTATATGAATACGTGGACCTAAATGGCCCATTATCGAACTTAACCTGCCTACTGGCAAAATAAAAATGTGTGCAAAATGTTAGCCCTCTGTCTCAATTCGTTCGAAAGATAGCGTGGTTACAACAGACAGATGGATAGACAGACAGACGGACATTGCTAAATCGACGAAGAAGTTTACGCTGATCAAGAATATATTTAATTTGTTGGGTTTGACATGAGTATTTCGAGGAGTTACAACCGGAATGACAAAGTTAATATACCCTCCATAGTATGGTGGTAGAAATTAGATTAGATCGAGTTCGGAGATGGGCAATATCGGTCCACTCCTTCTGGTACCTGCACAGAAAGAGAAACGATAATCCGATTTTGCTCCAACTTTGCAAATCTTAGTATTTGCGTCAGTGCTAGGCCATGTGTGAAAATGGACTCCATCAGGGACCTCCCCCACAAAGGGTCAAAATTTTGAATAATTAAAGCTCTTATAAAAGGTGATGTAAGAGTTCGATAGTCTTCAAATGCCACACATCCCAATAATTTTATTAGCCCAAGGTCTGGTGCAAAAACGGAATGTATCGGTCCACTTCTTCTGGTACCTCCCCCACAAAAGGTCGAAATTTCAAAAAATATTTTTTGCACAAAAAGAGAAACGATTATCCGATTTTGCTCGAACTTTGCAAATCCTCATATTTTCATCGGTGCTAGGTCATGTGCGAAAATGGACAATATCGGTCCACTCCATTAGTACCTCCCCCACAAAGGGTCAAAATTTTGTATAATTACAACTCTTATAAAATGTGATGTAAGGATCCGATCGTCTTCAAATTTCACATATGCCAATATTTTTATTAACACAAGGTCTGGTGTTAAGAGGTAATACATCGGTCCACTTCGTTTGGTACCTCCCCCACAAAAGGTCAACATTTTCAGAAAAATATATATAAAATATATTTTTTGCACAGAAAGAGAAACGATTATCCGATTTTGCTCTAACTTTGCAAATCATAATATTTGCGTCAGTGCTAGATCGGGTGCGAAAATTCACAGTATCGGTCCACTCCATCAAGTACCTCCCCCACAAAGGGTCAAAACTTTGAATAATTATAACTCTTAAATAATGTGATGTAAGGATCCGAACGTCTTCAAATTTCACACATTTCAATATTTTTATAAACCCAAGATCTGGTGTTAACATGGGATGTATCGGCCCTCTCAAAACAAAACACTCAAATAAAGCGAAATAAATATCAAACTCTCTTTACATTTCACACACACAAATATTTTTGCTAACACAAGATCTGTTGTGATGTTGATATATATCTGCCAACCCCTTCTGGGGTCACAATATTAATATCATATCGGAATATTTATATCATATTTTGGGTCCGATACGAAATGGACAATATTGGCCCATTCCTTCGGAACCTGCTCCATAGAGGGTCAAACGTTTGAATAATTGTAACACTAGTTAAATTATATTTAAATAATCGAACACAGGCTGAGGGTATATATCTGTCGGCAATACCGACTGATACTTTTTAACTTGTTTTTAAAATAACTTCTGGGGAGAATATCCCAGATAAAAAAAAACAAAGAGAACTGATGGCTTTTTCCGAAACGTAGATAATCCCTGCCTTACCCCCTGGTAAACATTACCATCGTTCTCCACTAATAAACAAACGTTATTTTTATAAAAACAACAATAAAGAGATTAAGTCTGACTGACCATTTGGAACAACAAAATATTTATTTCTATTTAGAAATTACTATGGAGTCAATACTTATAATAAAAATTGTGCCGCTTATATAAGTCAGATCTGTGATTTTTTATGCTTTAAAAAATATGCATTAAATACTTATAAAACGGGCCTGTAACGCGGACCGGACCAGCTAGTTTACTATAAATAAAATCATTCTGGAAGATTGTGAGAAGAACTAACCGATATTAAATTTGGAATATAGTGTAGAGATAGGACTGGAATTATGAATTTTGGTACTAGAATCAATGTGAATGATACGTTTAGAAAAGGAGGCAAATTTGAATTTGAACTACTGCTACATGTACGAAAAATACTGAATGAAACTAGAGTTGAAATTATGATTTTTGTTTGTTGGGTTAGACAATATATAGTTTTGGAAAATGTGTGATGTGTGTGATGTGTAGCCCCCATATGTGGAATATGCCCAAGAAAAAATCGGTCAGAGTTCCCAGAAAGTAGCGGACATAATCCCCATCATAAGGGGTATGTCCAAAACTCAGGATGATTTCAGTCGAACACTAACCCATTGGGTTTTTGGATTTTTACTTGGAATTCGACTTAAATCATAACAACATCAAATAAGAGGGGGATATATCTAAATCTGAATGAAGTTTCTCAAAGCGATAGGCGCGACCTTTAATTTAATAATACCGGCTGAAACTTAAATGTTTACATCTCTTAATAACTTTATTTTTGAATGGAAATACAGCAGTTTGAAAATCCGTCCAATTATATGCTTCTCCTGTAAGCTAGTGTGCGTTTTCACGTGTTGAGCAGAGGTGCTTGTTCGTTCGTTAGTGGTATTGGCGGTATTCCTAGAAATGAAAACATTTGCCCACCATCAGAGCTCCCCTTCAGACCAACAAACAACCCCATCACCACATCACACCACAAATGCTCAATCTCTTGCTGTACGCTCTCGCTCTCTCAACGTTTGCTAACACTGTTGTTGTATCTCAAATTGTAAGTTTTTAACATCTTAATCCACCCCTCTCATCCGTCGTGTTCATGGCCTGTATCGTATCACTCTATGCTCCATTTACGAGATAAGCAACCAAACAACAGTTTTCTTTTACGATAAAAACAGACAACGGCAACGACGACCACCAGTTGTTTGTTCTTCCTGCGACTGCAGTGCAGAGCATGTGTCCTTGCAGACAACATTGGTCGTGTATCATCGTCGGCATCGTCGTCATCGTCGTCATCATTATTAGGAACTTAATCATCGTGTTGCTGGTCTTTCTCTCGTGTGCTAGCGTGTGTGTGCGTTAGCCATTCACAATATAATCGAAAACTGTTACAACAGCAACACCACCAGCCGTGGCAGAAGTTAAGACTAGCAACAGTCAGTCCGTCTTCGCCTGTCGAGGTGTACGAACGTTAGCTGCGGGTCTCCTTGCAAAAGTTGCCAACCACTACAACAGGGAAAAAAGGATATTTTGCCCATCTAATACCAACATTTGTAGACCAAATATTAACTAACTGAATGGCAGAGATGTGAATGCGTGTGTATTTGTGTGTGCGTGCGTGTGAGAGTTTTGCAACAGTGTTGGTGGTTCACCAAAGCAAATCCAAGAAGTACAAAGAAGAGTTCTTGCTGCATTGTTGCCTCCAGAAAGTAAAGAACTCGAAGTGTTAAACACAAAACTGTTGAATTGGTTATTGTTGGGAATTGTTAATTTGCGAATGGTAAAAAAGATGAAAAATAGAAAGGGAGTGAAGTGAACGAACCAAACATTGATAGAAAGAAAAAAAAAAAGAAACGGGAATTGTAAATTGTGTTAAAACGTAGAAAAAAAAAACAAAATACAAAGTGCTACAATTCCAAAGCTTCATATCTTGGCCGCACAGCCTTAGGCTTCCTTCTGTGTATTTGCCCCGTTAGCCCCGTAGACTTTGACGGAAATTGTGCCTGATTTGTTAAGCGGAAACGGAAATCGAAACATTTTGAAATTATTTGTAACGGGAAACAGTGTCGAATTCGATTTTAATGCGACAAAAAAGACATCACCAGGACCCAGAAACCAGGTGTCCTCGTCTTGTTCTCTCTCTCCTTACCACTTTCAGTCAATGCCATTGCCCCAGTTAAAGTGGTGGGAGTTTTACATTTTTATGGTTACTGTGATAAGGTTGATGTTCGAATTGTGAAAATAAAAATATTTATAGATTTGTAAAAATGTTGTTTTTGTCGTCATCGTCCACATCATCGACGTTGTTGTACTTGTTGTTGCTGTCTAAATGTCGCAGTCAATTCATGTGGAACTCAGTGAAGAACCTTTAAAACTTTGCTCTTGGCATTCGTTTATTTTGGGAAAACCAACCAATACTGATACCGTTACCAATACACAGACATTGAACAACATAATCACCTATTACGAGCAGCATCAGCAGCATCATAACGACCGCCAGCAACAGCAGCAGTAGGAGCAACAGTTTTTGAATCGAACAGGTATTTAAAATGTGAACATTATTGACAACATAATTCGACGAGATTTAAGAAACATTGAGGGAATTTAAATTTGTTAATATTTCAAAATTTATATAAAATGTAGAAGAAATTGGCTTAAGTGAGATATTAGACAATAACAACATGAAATATTGAGTACTTGATAAATTTATATTTATATAAATCTAGTTGGTTCGGTCCGCATTGACGGCCTGTAGTTTTAGACTTTATTGCATATTAAAAAAAAAAAAAAAAACAGTAAAGAAAGTCCTAAAGTCGGGCGGGCCGGTTTTATGATACCCTACACCACTTTGCTAATTTAGTTGAGCTCCACATAATAATTAAAAGTTTTTATGGGAGAATTCAATCATACACCCTATGATTATAATTTAAATAAAAAAATAAATCAAAGGACTAAATATGCCGAAGCATTTGTATCTTTTAAATTCGGACTTGTATTGCCCATTTAGTGCAAAATTAGTTTGATATGAGATAAACATATTTATGGGAGCTATATCCAATTCTGAACGGATCTCGATAAAATTTGGCCAATATATTTCTGAGCTGTATTTGATATATTTCCCTGAATATCGTTGTTACGGAGTGCATATTACGGTTGTGGGTAACAAATACAACAAATCGGATGAAGAATATACATGGGAGCTATAGCTATATTGGCATACTACCTTCTAGACTCAATTCGGTCGTGTGTGCCAAATTTCATCCCATTTGGACAAATATTAGACGTTTGGTGGACAATAAAAGGTAAATCGGACGAAGTTATATATGGGAGCTATATCCAAATCTGAACCGATCTCGACACAAATTTAGCAATGGTATTTCTGAGCTGTATTTGATATATTTCCCCAAATATTGTTGTTACAGCGTGCATATTATGGCTGCGGAGGACAAAAATAACAAATCGGATGGATAATATATATGAGCGCTATATCCAAATCTGAACCGATTTCGACCAAATTTGGCATACTTATTTTCAGGCCTAATTTGGTTGTATGCACAATAAAAGGCAAATCGGACGAAGATATATATGGGAGCTATATCTAATTTTTGTCCGATTATCTCCAATTTCAATAGGGTTCGTCGTTGGGCCAAACAAATGTTGTTTGGAAAATTTCATCTCAATCGGATAATAAATGCGACATGCATTTTGTTCACAAGAATACACAGACAGACAGACGGACGGACAGACGGACTGACATGCATAAATCAACTCATAAAGTGATTCTATGCAGATCATCAAAAGGAACTATGGGTCTATCTCGTTTCCTTTTGCCTGTTACAAACAAATGCACAAAGACATAATACCCCGACCATCTTGTGGTCGTTATATGTATATGTAATGACTGGCACTGGTCGATTTAAAGTCTTTTAAAAAGCCTGATCCTATTTTTCAGACACAGGTTTTCCTTTAAAAGTTAGAAACTGAAATAATAAAGGACAGCTGTTAAAAAGTATATATCAACCGTTTATAAAAACAATATCCACCTGTCTGTCGGTGGACTTGGGAGGTACTTTTTTAAGGGACTATACCAAAATATATATATTCCTACACTTTACACTTTAATACACATTTTTAGCCAAATCGTTTTGAAAATGGGGTCAAGACCCTCGAAATAGGTTAAATCAGAAAGTACTTATATGTAGGCGCTATTCCAAAACATTGACCCACATTGCGAAGAGGTTTTCTACCTCCTTAGAAGCCAAGATGTCAGAAATGGGCCAACCAATTGAAAAATGTGGCCAAGGTCCCGGAAAACGAAAATCGGGGGATATATTCATATGAGGGTTATACCAAAACATGGGCCATACTTTTAATATTTTGAAAGGATATTTTCTTCTTTCTAAATCTTGGTGCCTCCAAGGCTCAGCAGGTTAGAAGTATCAACTTTATGTTTTAGGTTTATTTTAATTATTATTATTAATTATTAATTAAATTATTTTAGTAAAATTTAATTATTTGATTCCTCTTCTATTGAGCTTACGATCTCGTCACTTGGGTAAAAAAAGTATTTTGTCATAGGAGTTATTTTAAAATAACTTCTGGGGAGAATATCCCAGGCAAAAAAAGGCAACTGATGAGGATTGGTTGGCTTTCTCTACAAATAAACAAACGTTGTTTTTATAAAAACAACAATAATGGATTTGAGCCTGACTATTTTGCATCAACAAAATACAACGGTATTCCGAACAAACATGCCAATTCTATTCTCAAACTAACACAACAAATTAGAACCCGAAATAGGTCCAAATAATAACGGAATTACTGATTAATAAAAAATGCAATGTCTCAAGGCAAAATTTATGCGCAATGCAGTTGATTTCGTTTCTTGTTCTAGTTCTGCCTTTCAGACAGGAACATATATAGGGTTTGATGAAAAAACTGCAACCAACTTCAAACTGCTGTCATTTCTAAGCCACTCGTCCGACAGCTGTTAAAATTATTCCAGTGACAGCTCATTATATTTCGGTGAGAATTTTCCAGAAAAAAAGAAGCGTAACAGTGCGATTTCTTTATACAGGGTGAGATAAAAAATGTAATAATTTTATTGAACGAATGCAAGAAATGTCGAATATAGCATCAAATTTTAAAATAAGTTTAGATTCGAATTGGTCACCTTTGGCACGAATTATGGCCTCCAAACGGCCAATGAAACAGTCACACGCTGCCCGAATGTTGCTTTGCGGTATTTTGGCCAACTCCCAGCGAAGCCTTGCTTGAAGTGATCGACACTTTGGTATTGGCTGGAAAACCACAAGTGGCTATCGTTAGAGCACTCCAGCATTTAAATGTGAGTAAATCTTTTGTGTCTCGTAACATCGCTCGTTACCATGATAATGGTATCGTAACCCGACGTCAAGGAAGTGGACGAAAGAAAACAACAACATCAGCAGAAATGCTTCGCAAAGTAAAGAAGTGACTTGATCAAAACCCGCGTCGCAGTGGCCGAAAAATGACTCGTGAGCTGAACATATCGCAATATTCCATTCGGCAAATATTGAAAAATGAGTTCTGAAGTTTTAAATTCCAAAAATTGCAATAACTTACACCGCAAAAGAATGAAAAAAGATTCAAAAGAGCTAAAGAGTTGCTTCGCTTGGCCGAAAGTGGTGAACTGCCGAATTTGTTTTCCTCCGATGATGAGATAAACATTCGTTGTCCGGCAGTTTTTAAACAAACAAAATGATCGTGTTTACTTGCCAAAGAGGACAGCTGAAAATGTGCACCTTCGGTTGGCCACCAGAACTCAAGCGCCGGTCATGGTGATGGTGTGGGCCGCCATAACAGTCGATGGTCGCTCTCTGCTCGTGTTAATCGACCGTGGCATCAGAATAAATGCGAAACGAATATTATCGCGAAGATATTCCGGATCCGTATTAAAGTCTTGATGTTTGCGTGCAAACATTTTGGCCGCAGACCTTGGACATTCCATCAGGACTCAGCAGCATCGCACTCAGCCCAAGAATGGTTACAAAATGAGGTTCCTTGCTTAATTTCCAGCGTACAATGGCCATCAAAATCTCCGGATACTAATCCGTTGGACTCTTGTGTCTGGAGTATTTTGGAAAGCAAGGTTGGTACTAAAAATACCAAAGTGTCGATCACCACAGGCACGCGTTTCGCTGGGAATATTGCCAAAATACCGTAGAGCAATATTTAGGTAGCTTGTGACGGTTTCATTGGCCGTCTGATGGCCATAATTCGTGCCAAAGGTGAACAATTCGAACAAATCTAAACTTATTGTAAAATTTGATGGTATTTACGACATTTTTTGCTTTATTCTATAAAATTAAAAATAAGTTAAACAAGTTAAAAAGCAGTAAGTTCGGCCGGGCCGTACTTTGAATACCCTCCACTATTTGAAACGAATTTGGAAATTTTCACAAAATTATAATAATAATAATAATAATAATAATAATAATAATAATAATAATAATAATAATAATAATAATAATAATAATAATAATAATAATAATAATAATAATAATAATAATAATAATAATAATAATAATAATAATAATAATAATAATAATAATAATAATAATAATAATAATAATAATAATAATAATAATAATAATAATAATAATAATATAATAATAATAATAATAATAATAATAATATAATAATAATAATAATAATAATAATAATAATAATAATAATAATAATAATAATAATAATAATAATAATAATAATAATAATAATAATAATAATATATCAGAGCTATACGAAGACCTGGACCTGCATAGACAATTCTCTGCACAGGCTGTAGCATCCACTACGAACTTCAAAGACGACGATGGATCGAACTAGTTCCGGGTTTGTATGAAAACTCTGCGTATGAGTGATATGAAATTTATCAAATCACTCATACTTTTAGGAACACGTGTACTGAACTATGAACTAGATTGACACAACTCTACTTCCAAACCATGACCTTAAAATTGCACCAACGCTCGTCGGTCAGATTTTTGAGCGGTGATTTACAATGTAAAACTAGGCAACACCAAAATTATTAATCACATTCTGACACGCAGAAAATCAAAATCATTTCATCGTTTTCAGATACGAAAACTTTAAAGATTCAACGTATTACCAACTACGAATATACACATAAGATAAGAACAAGACCAAAGATCTTAACAGATTAATTACTGAAAAAAAAACTATGACAATAGATTCAATCTTGCTCATAGGCCCCTCATATAAAAACATTGGCTGATTTCACATATTTCCTTGACTCAGTTGTTTGATCCTATACGATCAGATATTAGTGGAATTTGTGAACCATAAAAACCCGCAAAATACCTCTTAAATTCCTCGAGTGAGGACTAGTTGGTATTTTCAAAAATATTCCCCCGACTTTTATACCCTCCACCATACTATGGAGGTTATATTAATTTTGTCATTCCGTTTGTAACTCCTCGAAATACTCATGTCAGACCCAACAAAGTATATATATTCTTGATCAGCGTAAATAACGATT